AAGTTTATTCGTTAAGGAGGTTCATCACTTTAGCATCACACATGCTCTTCTCTTCCCAAGCCTTGTCGAAGTGTTTGAACGAGAAGAATTGTTGGAGTTGAGGAAATTACGATACTGGATAGTGGGTGCAGAAAAAATTTCAGGAAAAACGCTTTACAAAGCAATTTCAGATGGAACTAAAATTATACAAAACTACGGTCCAACAGAATCAACAGCTTATGCCCTTTTTAGACGCATGCATATCTGCGACCATCCTAATAACCTCGGAAAATGCATAAACAATGCAAACATGTTTAATGCAAGAGACTTTTCACGGAAGGCACCCAATTTTACAATTAACGAACTAATCCTCCAGGGCACTAATCTCATGCGAGGTTACTTAGAAAGTACAATCAATGCTAACTCCAAAACCAAAAAACCCATAAAGAGTTATGCAACTGGAGATCTCGTACGCAGATTACCTGATGGAACAGTAGTTTTCATTGAAAGAAAAGATAACCAGATTAAACTACGTGGATTTCGAATTGACTTAACTGAGATTGAAGCGGTTATTTCCCAATTATCCTGTGTAAGACAATCAAAAGTGATTCTTAAAAAACCAGAAAAACGTCTTGTAGCATTTATAACTCTAAAATGCAAAAACAAAGATCTTAAGGACGAGGACATTCTAAGTCACTGTAAGGAACGTCTGCCGTATTATATGGTACCAACTCACTGTTTTCGAATTGACAGTTTACCATTAACTGACAATTCAAAAACAGATTTTAGATGTCTCGAACGAATTGCACAGTCGATAAGTAAGACTGTTCAAGTTCAAGAGCCAGAAGGTCATACGGAACGCAAGTTGCTAAAAATTTTCCAAGACGTATTAAATGAAAAGTATCTGTCGGTTAATGACGATTTCTTTTCTCTTGGTGGCAATTCGTTAACGGCTCGGAAACTGATAGAAGCCGTAGAAACACTTTTTAAAGTCCAGCTTTCAATGAAGGACATCACCGAAAATAACACCGTCAGGAAAATGAAAGTTTTAGTTGAAGTCAGGAGTTTCAAGTCAAAAGAACCTCAAGTAGGTCAATCTTTTGACGAGGTGAAGTATGACAGGAAGGCGCAAAACCTCCACATAATGAGCTACGAACAGCAACAAGTTTATTACCTAAACAGCACGACGCAAGCTTGCTACTACAACCTTTTATTCAGTCAAAAATTCCCATCCGCCATTAACTTCAAACATTTCTGCCACTCCTTTCATCGCATTGTCTTAAAACAACCATCGTTAAGAACCGTATTCAGAAAAGTCAAACTCAGTTTTTTCCAATTTCTTCTTTCTGGTACAGAAGTTTACTTCCACCCGCATATTGAATATTCGGAAAATAAAATCAAGAAGCTAGTAACCGAACTCGAAAAGCATAAATTTGATTTGTCTCTGGCTCCCCCCTTAAAATGTTTATTGCTCAAAGACAGTGGCAGTTTCACGGTCTTCATCGTGACCAACCACATTATCAGTGATGCGTGGTCTACACAAATTCTGGAAAGAGAACTGAGTAATATATATCAAGCAACGCCGAATAGCGTTAGTTGGAAGAAAACGCTCAGTTACAGCTACATAGATTATGCTCATAACCAACAAAGTGAAATATCTAGAAAGGAAATAGAAGCAAAAAATGAGTTATATGCCGAAAGTCTTAGACCATATATCTCTGAGAGTAAAACTCTGTGGCGCAGTGAAACTGAAAATAATTTTATGGTTTCAGATTTCCGGTCCTATCACGGCTCCTTGAGCGGAAATAATTATGAAAAACTGTTACAATTTTGTAGCACTTTTAAGTGTTTCCCATCATTAATTTTCCTAACTGCATTAACATTTGCTATTCACATGAAAATGAAAATTTCCACAATAATTGTCGGTATAGTGACCGCTAATCGTAATCATCTCAATGCCGATATTATAGGTAACTTTTTAAACACCATTCTGGTTCCGTCCATCAACAATTATAACAAAAACCGCAGCGTAACTAATCACTTGATACAGTTAAAAAAATTTGCCGAACCAGTTCAAGACTACCAATCAGTGCCGCTTTTCCAGTTATTAAGAAAAATAAGAAAACTAACAAAAAAAAGATTTACTCCTGAAATCATTTTTAACTGCCGTTACGATTTGGAGGACGGTACAGTTAACAGTATGTCAGTTCCAAACGTTCCAATGCCGAACAAATGTGCCTATGCAGTGGAAATGGATGTTGATTTTGTAGACGGAAAATACGAATGGGCACTAAGGGTTCATGAGAAAACAAACCCAAAATTGCAAGAAAAGTCATTTGCTGCCTTTCTAGAAAGTAGTCTTCTGGAACTCATACATATGCCCAACGCAGAAGCAACGCTTTCAAAAACTTTTGATTCGTGCATTGTGACTAAACCAGAAGAATGTAAGCAACCGCTTCCGTGTTTCCCCTCCAAACATGTCAACATTGGCGACAAGTTAAGGGAGATATGGCACTGCTGTTTGCTAGGCACAGATTTTTCAGAAACGGACGACTTCTTCCTGATCGGAGGCGATTCTATAAGCTTTTTAAAGCTACATCATCTGATCATAGCTACTTTCCATATCGACCTCTCCTTAGAACAACTCACCTGTGCCAGCTCATTTGACTTAATGCAGCAGTTTATAGAACAGAACATTGGCAAACAGCGATGCTGTACATGGTGTGCAGAGCCGTCCGCCCTATCGAGCGAAATAGTGCTCAAACTAAATTACAAGAACAAGCAAGACTCAGCAATTGTATTTTTTCATCCGCTTTTCGGAGGAGTTATATTCCCTTACTGCCATTTGTTGAGAAGCCTTATAGAGCTCGATGACAGTTTAACTATTTTTGGCTTACAACATCCAAACTCATTTAGCGAAAACTCATCTGATCCGAGGGTATCCTCCACACTTGAAGAACTCTGCAAAGTCTACTCGGAAAGACTGTCCAACGTCATTGGTGGTGGACTAAAGTGTGTCTTTATTGGTGCATCACTAGGAGGGATTTTAAGCTACGAATGTGCTCACTATTTAATGAGCCAGGGTAAGTAATTTAGCTCGTGTATGCCAATTACACAAAAAATATCTGGTACCGCAATTGATCCTTACACGTACATAGGGGCTTATTCCGAAAGCAGAGCCAATATACGCACCGGATGGCTACGCATAGTTAATAGGCCATGTTTTTCACCTTCCTCTCCTTGAGTAACATCAAAAATAAAAGAGAAAGAATGTTCACAAACCATACAAATTTATGTAAATTAGACGTATGTGGACCATTCCATGCCAAATCGCACACTTTTGAACATCGTCCTCTCAAATTTTTTCCATTTTCTGCTGAGTAGTAGAGTCTAGGCCAGCACAAAAAAGCAAAAAAGAAAAAACTCTGGAAAAGTAAATTCCCTGCCAGGTTACACCCACCCAAAATTGCAAAATTTGCCAGGTTGCCGCTTGACATGCCTATCTTTGGAGACTTGTAATTAGCCCGTTCCTGAAGAAATTTAACAATTTTTAATCCAAAGTATTCTTTTTTGTTCCTAAACTTTCAAACTCATTTTGAATAATTTAATTCCGGTAAAAACGCACAAAGATACAGTAAAAATAAAATTTCAAACAAACAGAAAAAAAACGTGTCTTAGAACTGTTTAAAAAACATATTTTTTATAGAATTTTTTGCTCCACAACACTTCACAGTCTGGTGATGGCGATTTTTCGCTATCTAAAGCTACGAGTCAGAAAGGAATGTGAAACTGAAAAAACCCACTAT